ATTTTCGTATCCAACTTCTTTTTAACGATTGCTCAGCCTTGCCCAGTCCCAACGAATTCGAATGTTGCGTCGCAAATCTGTTTGGAACGCACCATGCCATGTACAGAGTAAGTTTAGAGGATATACCTTCTTTAGGACAAATATTATTGGTCAGAAGTAGGGGACCTTTTTTTTTTGTTTACTTTGCCCCTAGGAAAGGCATCGGTCTTTGCCTTGGGCTCGAGGATGCCTTTGTTATCTCGCGTCGTATCTCTCGGCTCACAGCGCAAAGTTCTTTTCTTATTCACAAAGGGACGAACAATGAGAGGAGCTCACCTATTTCCCTTAACCTAGTTCCGAGGGAAAGTTTGATCACATCGGATCACCTAACAGCCCTAGAAAGTATCCATTGCCTCAACGTCACCTGTCGCCCATACCAATGCGGGGCCGACCGATACGTGACGGCCGTCGCTCGTCTCGTGGGCAACGTGACATGGTTGTTCGTTACATTCCATGATGTTTTGTCCAACATCGTTACCTCAACTGGCATTAAAGTGTGGTTACAGCACTTGACCTTCCCGTTTCGAATAACCCGAATTCATGAATTATCAATATAAGTTCATTTTTTCTAAGGTGGAAAGTTAATATTCCCAATTCCCTAAGGAGCGAGCTGGCAAAAGAAAGAAACGAGATATTTTCAAGGATAGAATTCAATGTAAATCGTTGGCAAGTGGCCCACATCCGTTTCTCCTCTCACGGTTGGAAAAGATAAATTTTATTATATGAGGGGGAATTCGAATTCATCGAACAGGAAAATGTGTCTCGAGGGATCATAGGCTCGATGTTCCCCTTTGACAGAAGAAAAACCGGAGAACTGGTGTAAGGCGATCGGAGAAGAGAATAAAAACTTCGAAAATTGAAATACGTCGGGAATCGGCTTTTAATAAACAATGAAAGATAGTGAACTAATCAGACACCAGCACTTTTTCCTTTTTCTTACAGAACCATTTTTTATCAATACTCTCAGGACCACTTCTTAGCCTGGGTGAAAAATGTAGACCACCTCTAGTAAAGTCATCTAAAACAGATTTGGGAGATCTGATTCGTCTATCCTGGTTATTCCGGGTCCACCCTGTTTCGGCTCTCGCCACCGGTTTCTCCGGTGTTCTAAACATAGAGACAGGAGGGCATTGCCTGGTGCTCGGAGCTTTCCTTTCCCAAGCGCGCGGGGGACCCCCCCCGCTCAAGTAAACGCGACCTGGAATCCCCTGCTGCGGAAGTCAAACGTGCTACCGATCTCGTCTGCCGTTGAAGTCTCGGTCGAGGGATCACCATGCGCCCAAGCACAAGATATAGGCCTCAAATAAATATAAATAGAGATGAACGTCGTGGGAACGTCTCGATCGAATGGAATGGAATCCCTTATTGCTCCCTTTCTTCGCTCGTCCACGATGGCATCTGACCTCATCTTGACGCCATTCGCAGAAGCGTCAGCCGCTTCCTCGTCACCTGACGCGTCACGCATTCACCGACGAAGAAAAAGCCATTCCATTAATTGAGTCTCGCTAGAGGCTTACGCAATTTGAGCCGGTTTCCCTCATCTTGTTTCTTCGATCGAGAAGGAAACTTTGCCTCGCTCCATTTCATCGATGCCATAAATGTTCCTAATTACCAACATGAAATTCCTCCCTCCATAGGGTGACCTCCTTTCCGACGAAAACAGTCCCAACGTCTCTAAACGTCTTTCGTGAAGAAGATCGCATTCCAGTCTTAAAACTGTCGGTTGAATCTCGCCCAGAGTCATCAAATCCCTTTTCCTTGCAGAACCAAAAATCGAAGGGCGATGCTTCAAACGTGGCCTTACCGATGCCGCTCACGGCGGAAGAATAGCTCTCAAACTCTTACTCTCGATGAAATGCGGAGTGACACTTAAAATCCCGTTATATTTCGCTACCGTTACCCGTGCGTGCTCGGTGTATCTGAACCCCTCATTAAACCTCACCCACATCCATTGTCTCTCCAAGTATGTCCTTTGCAAATGTATTCAGAGTTCGATTTTATCATGGTCTACGTGAATAACGTCGCATTTACTCATATTGAATTTCTCAAGTCACTTATTACTCCGTATCTCAAAAACTTGAAAATTCCCCTCGGCTCTAGTCCCATTTTCTTCCCCTTTGAAAGGATTCATCAATTCATCGCATTCATTCGTCGTTCGGCAAATTTATCGATTTCACTGACGAGGTCTCGATCGAAATCGTTAATGCAGACAAGAAACAAATGCGATCCGAGAGGAGTGAATCCCTGGGACCAGAGCCAGAACAGGCTTTTCCCCGCATCGACGCTAATAATTTTCCGTCCTCAGGCCCCTGTTTTGGATAGAGCTTTTCGTCACCGCAATCGAGACTCGTTTTTTTATTTACGTAATCTCATAAAATCGTTAATAGGAGACATTCGTAATTCCTTGTCACCAGTGGCGTAGGGAAGGGGGGAGTTTAGGGGGTTAGAACCCCACCCCTTGGGCTTCCCGGTCAGTGACACTGACAGGCATATTTCAACCTTCCTTGGGAATTCCAGTTTTAGCTATGCCCCTTCGAGGAAAGTCTGAGGTCCGTCCACAGACCCAAGATGCCAGACCATGATTTCTTTGAAAAGGTATATTCCGGGTAGTGGAGCTAGGCGTAGGGTTGGGTGTCTACCTGGCTTCAACCCCCCCCTTGCCGATTTCCTGCCTAGGCCACTGCCTGCCACATCGGCCACCACGCCTTCGAAACTTACTCCGAGCAAACTCGTCAGGGAAAGAGTGGAACTCGCCCAGCGACAGGATAAAACCCAGAGCGCTGTCATCTGTCAGCGGTGACGCACGAATCTGAATCACGGCTTGGGAAACGGGATTAGATTCAAGACTGGCTTTTTTTCTCAGAGGGAGGATTCGAATGTTTTTCAGACCTTTCATTCACAAGAAAAATCCATTTAAAATTTAAATATTCAACCTAACGATGTTTAATATTTAGTAAAGCTGGGTCACTGGTAGCCAACTCGCTTTGGTTGCGATCAGGTAGCCAGTTTTTATTTTATCGCGTGTTAAGCGAGTTGATTGATGAAAATCTTTCTTAAATTTTTGCTGTTCGAATTTGAGCTTACGTTATTCTGTGCTTTTTTATTTTCGAAAACTTGGAAATTAGAGGGCAGCTTCGCTTATCATTGTGCCAAAATCCTGAATCACTTGCCTTTCGAATCGTCCCTCTCCTTTGCTGTATCTTGAGCGTCATGATCCGCGTCATTTTCCATTGGGTCAAAGCAATTCGGCAGCAATCCTCCTCCTGTCACCTATTTCTGCTTCCCTTCAATGCTGGCCTGTTTCATTCCTTGGATCCTATTTATTCGCTTTCGGAGGTCTCGTGTGCTACATGTCACTCGATTTGTCGAGGCCTGCGTCTTAAAATTGTTTGGCTTTCGATTCGATCTCACTCTTGAATGCATCTACCAAGGTCAACAGCAAGCTGCTCTTTGTCCCGCCGATTGAAGTTCTCACGACATTTTGGCAGATTTACAAAGTTGCATGGGCAGTAGAGTCCATAACGAGCACCAAATAAAATTCAACACCGCCCAGTGGCGTAGGCTGGATTTCGCCTATGAGGAGGGTGGGTGGGAGCTTAGCGGAACAGTGGGGGGGGCTAGAATTTCCCTTACTTCTCGCGGAGGGGGGGGGGGGGGGGGGGGGGGG